TCCTCCTCAAGAGCTGCGCTCAAATTCGGCGTTACAGGGAGTTGGAAACGGCTTTCATTTTTTGTAATGACTGCGTGAAGGAACGTGGATTCAATCCCCCGTTTTACAAGCTTTGAGTGGGCACTGCTAAAAGAAAGGAGGCCTTTCTTAGTTCGTGGAATATAACTCCAGCATAGATGATCGTTAGTAAAAAAGAGCTGTAAATCCAGAAACTGAATACTGCCAGCATTAGGCATTTCCCAAGTGAAGTTCAGTCCGCCGGACAGTGACCTAAACAGATTAACAATTTCTGCCACGTCATTTTCCATACAATTTGATGTACAGTCCCTTGAAATAACCAAAAAATCATCCACATAGTGGAAGATCTTGACTACATTCATCCCGTCAAGATTCCTCGATATGCGCTTGTCCATGGCAGAAAGATAAATGTCACACAAAACAGGTGCCACTGAAGAACCAATACAAATACCACTCTTTTGCACGTAGAACTGTTTATTTAAAACAACGGCCAAGAACTGCAAATAAAATTCTAACAGCGCTATAAAATGGTCGTAGTTTACACTCATAGAATTCTGGAACCTCAATTCACCTGACTGCGTTATGCTCTCACGAACAGCGATGTAAAGTCCATCATGAGGAACCGAGTAAAATAACTCTTCTACATCCACAGAAAAGGCTGTGGCCGTATTCTGCAATCCTGTTTTCAAATCTTGAACTAGTTCCCCGGAGCTTCGAACCAGAAAGGGATCGTCAATGACTAAAGCACTAAAGCCTTCCGCCCAAGAAGAAAAGTGCGGCTACTTGTGCGAACAACGCCACTGTGCTAAGCAATGTCTCCTTGCCAGGAAACGTACTGTGTGCTTGAGACTCTGGGAAAGGGTCCGAAGTACAGCTATGAACCTTCTTCAAAGCAACATGAGCTACTGGGCATGGTGCGCCGGTTGCCAACCGTGTCAGTGAACAGGACAGAGAGCGAGCCATCAGTGAAAGAGTGGACTGTCTCAAGCACACAGTGAGTCGAGAACCGAGGAAACGACCACCTGTTAGAAAAATCGTTGACTTTATGAGGGACAGTGGGCTTACAGTGGTAGAAATCGACAAAGAGAGCGGCTTTGTTTTGATGAGGGAAGACCTTTTCCAGGACAAGGCTTTAGCAGCAACTGAAAAGAATTTCGAGCCTGTCGAATTTTTCGTGAAGCAAAGGACGGCTGCGTTGAGGTTGCTCAAAGACGTGAACCTTGAAGGAGTAAGAAAGGCGGTCAACAATGCAGACAATGTTTTTTTTTTTAGGTCTTCTTTAGCGGCAAGACTCATAAGCCTAGCGGTGCCTTGCGAGTCGTTGTCTCGGAAAAGAGTGCCTGGCAGGTCGAGGTCAGCAGGTACTTACAGCGTCACCTAAGTGCTTTAGTCATTGGAGATCCCTTTCTAGTTCGAAGCTCCGGGGAACTAGTTCAAGATTTTAAAACAGGATTGCAGAATGCGGCCACAGCCTTTTCTGTGGATGGAGAAGAGTTGCTTTACTCGGTTCCCCATGATGTACTTTACATCAATGTTCGTGAGAGCATAGCGCAGTCAGGTGAAGTGGGGTTCCAGAATTCTACGGTGTCAACTGCGACCATTATATAGCGGTGTTAGAATTTTACTTGCAGTCCACGGCCGTTGTTTGTAATGAACTGTTCTACGTGCAAAAGAGTGGTATTTGTATTGGTTCTTCAGTGGCACCTGTTTTGTGTGACATTTATCTTTCTGCCATGGACAAGCGCATATCGAGGAATCTTGACAAGATTAATGTGGTCAAGATCTTCCCCTTTGTGGATGATATTTTGGTCATTTTGGGGGAATGTACTGCGAATTGTATGGAAAATGACGTGGCAGAAATTGTTAATCTGTTTAGGTCACTATCCGGTGGACTGAACTTCACTTGGGAAATGCCTGATGATGGCAGTATTCAGTTCCTGGATTTACAGCTCTTTTTTATTAATGATCATCTATGATGGAGTTATAATCCACGAACTAAGTAAGGCCTCCTTTCTTTCAGCAGTGCCCATTCAAAGCTCGTAAAACGGGGGATTGCATCCACCTGCCTTCACGCAGCCATTACAAGAAGCTGCCAGCATAGACTGCCGGTCAGCTTTGATCAGCAGGTTGCACGCTTGACGAGGGCCGGTTACCCGAAGAGCTTAGAGACAAGTGTGTGTGAAAGGCTCTTACAAATATTTAAACGGGAGGGTGTTGACAAAAGTCGTGAAAAGACAGACAAGATGCCAGTGCAGGTGATACCATATTTGCACCCAAAGTGTCCCACAATTTAAAAAAGATGGCTGTTAGACACAGGATTAACGTAGTCATCTAAGCCCCGTGAAAACTTTCGAAGATATGATCCGCGATGATAAAACGAAAGTTTGTAGTGTACTAAAAAAACATGTAACAAGATACACCGAATGCGTGACTAAGGTGGTTTATGAGATCCCCTGTAGTTACGGCCAAGCTTACATCGGTCAGACTGGCCGATGCTTTAATGAAAGAGCGCGCGAACACAAGCTTGCCGTACGCAATAATTCGGGAGGGCATCTTGCGGATCACTGCAAACGATGTGGGTGCAAACCTTTGTTTGGGCGCAAAAGGTTTATCAAGAAAGAAAATGAAAAAAATGGAAAGAGAACTAATCGAAGCTTTGTGTATACACAAAGCGGCTGACAGATACGTAGGCATGCCGTCTCTTTATCTGTTAACCAAAGAAATTGTGTTTCTTGAAGGATGTGTGTAATGAGCGATAAGAATTTTTATCAGTTGCATGTGTTTAGGCGATTGGGATCGAGTTTAACGATGATTCGTTTTTCAATAGATCAGTTGGTATTTTGCGCCTGTCCGTGTTGTACGTGTGTCTTTTTTCGTCCTGTTTGTTCGTGCCTTTTAACCTTTTAAACAAATTAGTCGTTAGTTGTTATGCAACTGCAGTTTAGGCTGCCAGGATATTGCGACATTGTTACCCTGCTAGCCTCGGGCCTTTAACGTGCACCACGCAGTAGTGATACACGACCGCACGCGGTACGATGCTCATCGAGATCGAAACGAGCAGGGGTGGGGATTGAACGTAGGACCCCTGGGTTCTGCGGCGTGAGCTTTCGCTCCACGTGCTCCCCACTCTGTCACGGATTCCCTGCTAGTTGGTCACTGCTGTCAGCTAGTTTTGCAAGCTATAGAAAGTATTCGAATTCGAAGAAGACGAAAAATTTGGAAGCTGGCACGATGACGCCACCAGCACCACTGCGTTGACTCGAATCAAGGAAAGTAGCCACCAAACAATCGTAATCATTTTCATAAACTGAACCGACTGGTGATTATTTTTCCTGCCCGCTGATAATTGCAGTGGTTTTAGGGGGAAATAAATTACTGTAACAAACAAAACGGCCGCCAAAGTTTGAGGGTAAGTATCGTAAGATACCCCCTGATAAAAAAACTTCAGCCTGTATTGGTTTACCTATACATTGATTCATAAAGAATTCGTGCTATATTTTTGGAAATAAGGTTTTTATTAAAAACAAGTAATTAAACAGAGTGCGCTTTTAAAGGGTAACTGCAAAGAAAAAAGTTTTTTTTTTTAAACAGCCTAATTGGGACAAGCATGTCACAAAACAAATGTTCCGCGAAAAAAATTATTTTGTTTATCAATATTTACGCCACACGACGTAATTTAGTAGAGTCAGAACCTCGTCACATTTGAAACTCCCGCTCTTTCGACTCCCGCGGAAAAGGAGTACGCCTCGCCCCTCACTCTCCTTGCGTTGCGGAGTTGAACGACGCAAGATCTGGCAACTAGGCCAGGCCGCGGTATTGTTTTGGTTTGACGCGGTTTGCGAGCACATTTAGCCAAGACCTGACCGGAGAAGTGCCCCTGTGATGTTCCCGCAAGACGGAAAGTATCGTTCGTAATCGTCGTGCGTGCCTTGAAAGCGAAGGGAGTCACAAAATCCACGAGTGCGCAACCACAAGCCAAGGTTCACGACAGCGCTGCGTTGGTTTCGGCGATCTCGTTCTGTTTGGTGCAACACGGCGACGCGACAGAGCTGAAACGTTCGTGGTGTGTGTAATGCGGTGCTATGTGTGTAATGCGGGGTTGACGTACAACGGGTCCAGTCCCGTCGTCGTCAACTGATCCAGTAAAACTGGCCCGGGAGGACGCAGCGAGCGTTTTTAAAAGTAAATCTTCCTTCGGTTTGTTTCAAAATGTGGAAGATTCCGGACGCATACCGTGAGTAAAAAGCTGCGGGCGTTTTCAAATAAATTACGTCGTTTTAATTGAACAATGGGTTCCGTGGACTCCGAATTGTTCTCCTAAATCTGCCGTTTTTATGCTTCGTGTTGTTGGACTGCGTTTGCACAGCGACGTGTTGCGCTCGTCGTGCGGTGTGAATAAATTTGGGCAAGATTTTGTACCTGTCTACAGATGCATGAACTGAGACCACTTTTTACGTAGTGAACATGGTGCTTTTTTTTTATTTTGTGTGTCTAGTTGTGGACGTTAGGTGCGCCCGGTGCGAATCTCGAAGGCCTCCGGAGCCATATGACGAGAACGTAACTGGACACGTTTGTCGCTACGCGAACGCCCGATTGCCTCCATCCAAATAGCATTCCTTTCGGGGCGACATGGCTGCTGGAAGGCTCACTTTCGGGATCACGCATATGACATCTCCGAAAAGTCAAGATTTGCACGCGCAAACAAGCAAAACAAACAAAAAAAAGCACGCTAAGCAAGCAAAGAGGAAAACGAAAGAACCGCGCTATGAAAGCCAAAACCCCACGTCGCTTCCTATCACTAACACCTGCGACAGCTGCTAAACACACACTACTTCACTTCAAGAAGTCTCACTCAAGCACCTGGGTCAGCACGAAACACTGATCACTTCGCCGAAACGATTAGTCGAGGTAGGCGAGACAGGCGGGAGCAGAGACTTCGGCGGCCATGAAAGAATGGCGAAGCTATGGTGGCTAGAGGGGGAGGTGGCGCCAGCGCCTATTCGCCGCGGAGAAAAGAGCGCGTCTTCCGTTCATGCCGCTGCCGCTGGCGACCGCTGTGGCGCACCTGTCGGCTCTTCGACGGCGTGCAGGCAGGCGTGCACGGACCTGCTCGGACCGCAGTGGCTGAGACCATACCTCGCTTCGTCCGTAATCGGTTAGTTTCATCGGGGCCACAGTCGCCTCGAAATCGCTTTTGTTGCTCTACGGTCGCCCGCTGTGATCTTTTGAAAGTTGTGCACGCAGCATCGACTCATCACCGGCAATGCGTTCCTGACATCTAAGTACTGTTTTATTCTGCGCAAATGGCACCGGCACCGAAAGTGAAAAAGGCTACGCAAACTCACTGCTTCGCCCCCGGCTGTACATCAGGGTATGTGTCGTCGAGGCAGTCTGATCGGCGAGTATCCCTGTTTGCCGCGCCGAAGGACCCAGAACGTTTTGAAGCCTGGCAGCGAGCAATCCCCCGTGCTGACAAAACACTCGACGCGCGCTCAGTGCTTTGTGATCTGCATTTTGATGAACAGTTTATCGTGCGGGTTTTCACGCACGTCATCAATGGTCAAACCGTGACAATCCCACGCGATCGCCCTGTTTTGACGAGTGATGCGATTCCGACCATTTTTCCCAACGTGCCATCATATTTATCGAAGAAGCCACCGCAGAAAAGGAAGTCAAAAACGTCGAGCTGCGGCTTGCCTTCAAAGACCCTCCGACCAGAAGCCAGTACATCTTTGCCTGTCGAGGTATGTGGGACGGATGCTGAAGTAAACCACTCAAGGGCAGCACCTCCTGTTGACTTGCCGTTAATCTCCGACCTCTGGAACTGCGAGCTACCAAGCCCCTACTGGGCTAAACACCTTGTTGCTGGAGCTGACAAAGTCACGGTTTTCACTGTGTGCGCTCTTGATGGCCAGAGCCTTTGTTTTGAAAAGGTGGTGTTGGTCACTGCTAATGACCAAGCCGTTCGTGCCACCGTGTTCGTTCAAGCCACCGAGGTGAAGATTGTTGAGCTGGTCAATGTGGAGATGGCAGAAGAGCTGCTTCGGCAGGTGGATTCCTTGACTCCTTGCAAAGGCTTTGGTGAGAAAGGGGAGTTTCCCACAAATCCAAGGCGCAGGACCAAGGCCTGTGGTGGCAAGAATTTCAGTGCATCGTGCCCTGGAATTTCTCAGACACCAGGGAAACCTTGTCCACAGTGCAAGTACCTGAGGAAGCTGCTTCTCAACCAAGCTAGTTACAAGAAAAGAACCGCGAAAGCCCGGGCTCGGACGCCTTCATACAAAACAAAGCTGAGGAATGCCCAGCTGAAAAGGTGCAGGGTCAGCATCTCGAAGCTAAAATCAAAAATACACAATCTGAGACGGAAAAGTGCGGAAACGGACACATCTTCATTCGAAGACAAGATAAAAAACATGCCCGTTAAGCAGCAGCAGCAGATTAAGGCATGCCTTGCTGCATCAAGACGGAAAAGCACAAAAGGAATGAAGTACGAGAGTGAATGGGTGCTTGAGTGTGCTGTGATGTGTATGAAAAGCCCTCGCCTCTATGAGCACATTAGAAAAAACAAGATCATGATCCTGCCTTCTCGTACATCTCTGCGTCGCTACCTGAAGAGCTACAGAAGTGGCTTTGGTCTGAGTGAAAAGCTCTTTGCAGCTGTAGCAGAGAAGACCAGGTCAATGAATTCTTTTCAGTGCCATGGCGGCCTCCTGATTGACGAGATGAAGTTATCGGAGCACCTGAGACTCGCATCAGATGGAAACATTGAAGGTTTTGTTGATCTTGGCAAGTTAACGCCAGAGAGTCAGAAGACTCTGGGATGTGATCACGGCCTTGTGATCATGTTCCAGCCTTTTACTGGCAAGTGGCACCAGATCCTTGGTGTGTTTGCCTCCCACAGTAACGTGAAGGCAGAAACTCTCACTCAGATTATCCTGGAGGCCGTGATCATGAGTGAGAATGCTGGACTCCACGTGGACTTTATCACTTGCGACGGAGCAGCCTGGAACAGAAGCATGTGGCGTTCGTTCGGCATATCCGCAACAAAAGACAAAACGGTCTGCAGGAGGCAGCACCCCACTGATCCAGAACGGTTCCTTTATTTTGTGTCGGACTTCCCACACCTTGTGAAGTGCGTGAGGAACAGCTTTGTGCGGACAGGCCTGAAGACGCCAGAAGGGCATGCCACTGTTGACCATTTGGACTGTGCCCGTAAGTGTGATGAAAGACACGACACCACGCTGAAGGCTATGCCACATGTCAACAAGTCGGTCGTTCGGCCAAATGGCTTTGAGAAAATGAGAGTTAACTATGCCTTTCGGCTATTCAGTGACGAAGCTCTCCGAGGTCTCTTTTTATATGAAGACGAGATTGAGAGACAACATGGAAGTACAGCTGCCACTATCAGCTTCGTCGAAAGGATGCGAATGCTCATTGAAGCCATGACGTCCAGGTGCAGTTCAGGCGCGCTGAGACCTGGAAATGTGCAAGAAGAGTGCATCAAGAGCTTCTTGGCCTATTTGGATAAATGGGAAGAAGCAGCAGGAGGACAAGGCTATCTGAGCCGCAGCGCAGCTGAAGGACTGCGCGTCACACTGTCGAGCACCTTATCTCTGCTGAAGTATGTGACAAGCGAACTCCAATACCGCTACATAATGACATTCCGGATGAGCCAAGATGGGATTGAAAGACTCTTTGGCATTGTAAGGCAGATGTTGGGGTGCAATGACCATCCAACACCCAGCCAGTTCTTGATTTCCATCAACTGCCTGAGTTTTCAGAACCTGGCAAAATCACCACCTCATGGCAATGTGTCCAGTGGGCTTTTAAAGAGTCTCGTAGGGGTGGATGATGCAAAGGAGACAATGTCTCAGAAAAGAGTAGACGAGCTTCTAGACGTAGGAGACCTGACTGAGGCGTACAAGGTGCTTAGCGGTTGTGGTATTGAGCACACTGCAATGGTCGCACAAGCCAGCGATTCAAGGCTCATCTTTTACATTGCTGGCTACGTCGCAAGAAAGAGCATCGTTGGCACAAAATGTGATGAATGCTGTCATGAACTGCTTCAACGTAAGGACGGGCCTGCTCCAGCTTCAGCATGCCTCACCGCTGCGGTTGATCGGGGAGGTCTTGTGTACCCGTCAGCGAAGCTGAACGCGCTTGTGAGGTCGCTTGAGAACACCTTTACGTACTGTTTTAGTGTGAAGCAGGTGAGAAGGGAAAGCCTCATGGACCTAGTGTCCTTTCTGCAGGTGACCAAGCTGACCCTTGTTGGTTGTTCCGATCACAGTGTCCCTCTGACGAACAAAATCATCAAGTTCTACGTTCTGACAAGACTTCATTTCCACGTGAAGACACAGAATTCGAAGCGAAAGGAGAGACGCGAAAGGATGAGGCTGCTTAAGCAGAGACGTGTGCTCTGATTTTCATTCTTGCGAGCGACACATTAAGTCCAGGGTTCTTTTTATTGTGAAATATTATTTTTATATTAAGTGAGTGATGTGTGATCTGGCAAGACTTCAGCCCGGCAGCAATATGCAGACGTGAACTTTATTTTGTGTTGATGAACTAGACTTCATGTATTAGACGTGTTTAGCTTCATTTGTAATTAGATTTATTTTGTGTTGATAAACTTAAATTTCTATTCTAGACGTGGTTAACTTGATGTGCAATAAACAGTGTTTGCATATATCTAGTTTCTTTACTTTCTACTTCAGTTTGTTCCTCTACTTAGAGTTTTTCACACATTTCTCACATCATGCGCAAAAGTTCCGCACAGCAAATCACGGAGTGGAGAGCTATAGTAATACAAAATTTCGTTAAATAATTGCAGGAATGCAAGTTAATAATAAATAAGAATTATGTTATTCTGGGGACCATTCGCGGATGGGTTTTAACTCCAAACTGGCCGCCGCCGCGACACCCGTCGTCTCCCTGTCGTAGCAATAGTACTAAAAAATAAACGGAAAATGGGTCAAGTAGATTTATTGAACATTTGCCGCTGTGAGCTTACTTGTGTATTCAACAAATTTTAGCTCACGCGCGCAACAAAAACACGCATAGGCGAAGCCGTCGGCCACGTATCCTCACCACCCGCGCATCGAAATCCCGACCGTAGCGCCATCTACGGAAGGCTTGAACAGGCGGATCGCCTTTTCCTCCCAGCTCGCGGCACCTCCCCCTCTAGCCCACCATAGCGAAGCTTTTGTTTGTTATGGTATGAATCCAAACGGAAGTGCCCGTCTTGTAAACCTTTTGTAAAGAATAATAACTCTCATCACATGGGTTATTCTTTAAACGTAAAAATATGCCGCCCAAAAGGAAATTGCAACAAATAACAAAGGTTTAACAACCAAGATCTAAGCTGTCAATCAAACTCGTAGCCAATGAGAGCCGATTGGGATTAACGTCACGGAATCCCAACTTCGTGGCGCGCGATTTAAAACGGGCGAAATAGCCGCAAACTAAAATCAGTCTCACGCAATAAATATTGCTGTAAATTTTTTTTTCTCGCGGAAAAATTGTTTTTTGACATGCTTGTCCCAATTAGGCTGTTTTAAAAAAATCTTTTTTTTTCTTTGCAAATAATGCAACATGTTTTTGCACATCTTGTTAGTACATATCACTGGCGCTAACTTGGAAGAGTTTGAAAAAATCGAAGATGGCCTTTCTTTTTAAATTGATTTTCAAAATTATGCACATTTACGAAAATGCCTTTATTTGAGCGTTTTTCGTGAACTTTTCCCGCTAACAAGGAAAACAATATTTATCACGAAGATTAGCCAAATAGAGGACAACACGCTGACAAAGTTTGAAAATCCTGGCTTGAATAAATGCGGAGAAAAAAAGATAAAACTTAAGCTGTATGACTTATTGTGCAGTCGTCTGTGCGATTTCTTATTCCAAAATAACGACGTCGATACTTCGTGATAAATAATTTGGGTCAATCATTCCCATACTTACTTTGTCGGTAAATATTTCTGGGCCAGTAGGGGGAGAGTTGCTTGAAATGCCAATGTTGCGAAATCCGCAAACAACGCTTCAGATTGACCAGGTGTTTCTGACTTTTTTTTTCTTAGAGGCAACCCCCCCCCCCCCCCCTAAAGAAAAAAAAAGAAAACAACAACAACAACAACGACCGGTTCCGTTTCCCTGGGCATTATGGCAGCAAGATGCATTTTTCTAGTCAAAATTAAAAATGGTCACCGGATATGGTTCGACCGTTCTTATCTGAAACACCAGATGCCCCTTCCGAATTGTGCAAAGTATATCGAAGCGCGTAGATTAAACAAAATAAATAATGTCTTCGTTGTTTGCTATAATTGTTCACGAGGCCTATTATTATTTGCTCTTTTGGTTTTTATTATTATTTTTTTTTAATATGTAGCAATGCGTTCGAAGAAAGTGTGATTTTGCTTTGGTTGGTGAATGTCATTTGTGCTGACATACATGATTATAAGCTACGATATTGAACTGCGGAAATGAAAAAAACGATTCTTCTTATTGCACAAAAACTCCCTTCGCGAGATTATGAATTTCCCGAACAAATTACACATGGGGAATTAAATCCCCATGTATCGATTTAAGTTACCTGTACACTAACGAGTTTTTTTTTTTTTTTTTTTTTTTTATTTAGCACGACATACTTCTATCTAATTTTCCGGCATTTATCCGTTCGGCATTAGTCATTTGATTACTTGGTGTTTTGAAGTTCACGCCTCTGTATTGTTCCAAACTAACATCCGCAAGGTAGCTCGTAAAGTAAAAAAAAAAGTAGCAAAACACACCTAAAATGCCTTCCGAAGTCATTATCTTGTGTAAGTACTAGGACGTTTTGTGAATTTTGGGGGTAAACCTAGGGAGATACAGGTTATCACTTTGACATAATGTCAGTGTTAGTGTTATCCGATTACCTCATCTTGCGAGACGTTTGCTTTTAGAATCTCAATAATTGGCATACTTTTCTAGCAACACACGCAGCACACGCACACCTCAAAAGAGCGAAAGCAAATGTAAAAAAAAAAAAAAAAAAAGACGCGGCACGGGTTATTTGCACTGTATCGCCCATTGGCGATGACAAAACGCCAACAGTCCCAATGGACTCAGATGTGCGCATTTCGATGCCGCTCTTACCTCCGCGGATTCCCGTTTTGTCGCGGAGGCATGCGGTTTAGAAAAGCTCCTTTTAGGGAACGCCGTTTTATCGATATCAGTTTATCCAATCGCAGTTTAGAGAAAATGACGGCAGCCGGCGTGCCGTTTCCGATATCCCCCTGGTTCATTAGCCTAGATTGCCGAACCCTTGGCGGTGAACTATTGGTAGTGCACGCTCAAGCTTGAGGTTATAATAAATTTTCCCCCAGCGACAGTGAGGGGCGACCGCGCCAAGCGCGGTCTGATTGGAAGCCTAGCTTGCCGCCGCCAAGAAACAGCAGTTCTCAAACGGAGGCCTCGATAAAACGTGCTCCTCTCGCTAAACCGTGCTTCGATAAACCGTACCCCTTTCGCTAAGATGAGCCTCGATATAACGGCGTTCGATCAGCCGTAGCAAAGACGCTTTGTCGCTGTTAGTACAAAACCTACCGCTTTCGCGTAGCAAAATATTTTATTTCACTTTTTTTTCTGTCAACTGGTTAACTTGATCGGTTCATTGAGTGTGAAGTCTTGCGAGTCTGTAAGTTGCCAAGCCCATTCATTTGCGGGTGCAAATGCCGCCGCCGCGATCGGTAGGTTACGCGAATTTGGTTTCGCCTGCCTCCCCTCCAACTTGGGGTGAACTCGTCCGCAGTGGAATCATAACCAGTGGTCCCACTCAAGGCCACTTCCGGTAATCGCGCATACACAGCGCTCCTCAAGCCGGATGGCGACAACTGTAGTTGTAAAACAAAAACAAACAAAAAAAAAAACAGGGTAAAAAAGAATCGCAATGGACTAAATTGAGTGCGTTAATGTTAATATTTTTAGAAAAAATAATAAGCTAGGTAATAATGATAAACCAACATGGAAAGAAAAAATCGAGCAGTTACCGTTAGCTTCAAAAAGTTCATTGCCCTAACCGAAGCCATGTGCCATGTCGCCGGTCGCGTTGTCGGCGTTGTTGGTGTTGCTGTTCTGCGAATTTCTCTTTCCTAGTACATTTCCCTTTCATTTGGATCCTCGCTTGGCGTTTTAATGTCACGTGAGTTACCGAATCACGCTATGAATGTGTTCTAAATGGGCCTGCTCAGGCAAGAAGCCAAAAAGCCGGGGACTCACTTCGCCGTTCGAGATTCCGGGATTCCGCTTCAAGTTCGTTGCTGGTGAGTGCAAACATTTTAAAGTGCTCGTGCTCTCCTTCGCGTCAGGCCATGGCACGATCGTCTTTTCTCCAACGCAGTGTATGTGACTCGGTTAATTTCTTAGTCGTATGTACGTCGGACGTGACTTGTGAAACGGTCGAACGTAATGAATTGCTTGTTCACGCGCAACCTCCACGTATCGAAGCTTGCACACCACTTTACTGGAAAAATATAAATATCGTGGCAAATGACGCGAATCAGGACCGAACCTGGGATTTGCTAATCTGTAAAATCATAAAAGAGAAGATGGCATCATAGCTTAAGATGAAAAAAACAAAAAAACGCAACATTATAAAAAGTGAATTCACCAGTTGTTATATATTTGCAAACAGGCTAAGCAAGTTGACTGGGCACATTGAACATAATTCTGAATTAAATAGTCAAATGGGTGTCCCTTCAAGGGAATTAACAGAAGGCACCTCTAAAAAAAGTGTTGCTCAAACATGCCAATTTCCTGGACTCACACCTGTCTTCTCTCTCTCGTCAGGCTACCCTGTGGGTATGGCAGCATCCGGCACCTGTCGTCCAGCATGCGTCGAGACCCCTCCTCCCCCCGTCAAGCTCCAGACATTATTTATCTCCACTTGGCACGTCATGCAGTAAGACCCACTGTACTTATTTAATTTAGAAGTATAAGCAGGGACAGATCCAAAAAAAAGCAACGGGGGCGGCCGCCCCCCCCCCCCCCCCCCCATCTCGGAGGGCAATTTGACATGGCTGGACGCCCCGGTGCACACGAAAGAAGGGGAGAATAGCATCCTTACAAACTTTCTGCCCTCCCCCCCCCCCCCCCCCCCCAAACGGAGTTCTAGATCTGCCCCTGAGTGTAAGGTGTGTCTCACTTCGTCCATTCACTGCATGCTGTTACTTTCTTGTTCCAGTACGATGGTTCCTCGGAGGATCGCAGAAAATACCACGAGGGCGACAAACGTGTGGAGGCAAGCTGCAAGGAAGGGCCGGACACCAGAGACAAGGACCATCAGTAACCAGGGGGACGAAGTGAGAAAACTCAAGAGGCAGCTCATCATCTGGGCCACAAGAAGAAAGTCGGAGACCGTACACTGGGAAATTTGTCGACCCTCATCCTTGGGTGGCATGAGCATTTTCTGGTCATATTCGTACGTGAGGTGAACTGTTACTGGAACTAGGTTGACTCATCCTTCTGCAGCTTACAGGGCATTACCAAAGCTACGGCACCAACGAGACAACCGGAACATTTGGCTGAGGGACGGGACAACATATTGTGGGAGTATACTCCTCCTACGGAGAGCTCTCACAAAACTTGCTTCGTTGCTCTGATTAGTTCCAAAGGGTGGCAGTGCTTTTCTTTGTAAAATTAGGCTGAAACAGA